AAGAGCCATTAATTGTAATTTTATGGATATGAGCTTTTATAGTTGGTCTTTGACAAAAAGGAAAATTGATTTTGTATGAATCTGTTTTCCATCTGCCATTCTGGGGTACGAAATGGACGGAAAGAAGTGACACATTACCTGCCCAGTGTCCCCAAGTCGACCCACACGGGAACTGTAATACTGCATGACCTGCACATTTTATTGGTTAGTGTCTGGATTCACTAAACCCAGAGCTCTTTCTGTCTCATTCTATACAGTTCTCCTGGCCGTTGGCTGATTAGCTCTGGGTCCGACGCTTACAAGACAGCAGGCCAGCGTCATGAAGCGGCCTTATCAGCAAAAGCGAAACTTCTGAGCTTCTGTTCTGTTCTCTTCTCTAGGTTTCTATGCTGACTGCAGTGCCTGGCCCCTGACGCTGTCTCCTACTTGGGCCCTTGTGTTAACTTCTTTATTCCTCCAACAAGCGTGCTTGAGGGAGGGTGAGAACAGCTCCGAGAGTCTGGCCACCGCAGGTTGCTGTGTGCACAGTGGGGACGGGCAGACGTGGCCGACAGTGCCTGCTCACCCAGTGGCGGCCCAGCAGGCATCCTGAGCTTTTATGCCGCTCCACACAATGTCTGCAGAGATAATCATTGAATGAGGGTTTGTATTTTGCTTGTCACCTTTTTCTATTTTTATTTATTCACTTATTGATATTTTTAAAATGGGCTGGCCCATGGGACGTTAGAAATAATAAGGAAAATGAAACAACACCAGAACCTGCCCTTTGCACCTGGATGTTTGAGAAGCGCTGTCACAGATGACCCGAGGCCCCACGAGGTTCTGTGCTTGCCTGTTTTCTGCTGCTCACTCGAGCAGCCCTATGCATCGGGACCCTTGTGGCCAGGCCCCGCCCTCCTGAGCAGTCAGAGCAGCACCCCCTCCATACCCCCACTCACAGGGCTAGTCACACTCCCAATCACTATCTTTGGGCTTGAAAGTTTACACAATGTATTTGCTCATGGCCCTAAAATGTCACTTTCCTCAAGGTCCCCGCCTTGTGACTATCAGCACGGCTCAGGTCGGAAAAGCTTCCCTGGCAGCAAGCCAGGCCCACGCAGGACGATGACATCATGGGCCTCAGTATAGAAATGATCTTCCTGGTTCTCAGACAGAAGCTGACACACCGGACTGTGACTCTTCCTCCTCTCAGGCCACGTCTGTCTGCGGATGTCACGCTTTCCTGTTCTGAATGGGTACAAGCTGTGACACGGCCATTCCAGGACTTCCAGGAGCATAGCAGGAAACTGAGAACAGCTCCCCTCAGAGAGGAAGCGCCTATTGAAGCAGCAGTTGTGGGGCGTGGTCGTAGCGCTGCCTCCTGCCTACCAGGAACAGGCTGGCCCTGAGCTCCTGAGTCTCCAGTCACAGTGTCTGGATGGCCCTGGCCTGCGGGTGCCTGGCAAGAACAGTCTTTGGCAGGTTCCCACTCACTCCGCTAGCACTTCGGGCACGTTAGCTCTGTGCGTTTTCTCCGGAAGACAGAACTTCCCTCACCTACTGAGTGGGTCTTTAATTTATAACAAATACCTTGAAAATGTGACACTTGTGCTGGGAAGCCTTCTGCAAATTCTCCCAGCAAGTGCCCCAAGCTTTAGTCTGTTTTTTCTCCACTGCTTCCCGATGGGTCGTTGGGCTGCAAGAGACTGCACTCCAAAGCGCAGGCTGGGACGGCCTTGCTTTCACCACCAGCTGCTGACAGGTGGTCAAACTGTGGCCCAGGGAAGGCCGAGAGGCCTCAGAACAGAAAAACTGAATTCTGGCTTTCTGTTCTTTTTTTTTATTTTATTTTTTGGCAGAACTGGGGATTGAACTCAGGCCCTTGCACTTGCCAGGCAAGTGCTTATTCTACTGAGCTATCTCCCCGGCCCCCAATGGTTTTCGGTTATTTTCTTTGTTTTGTAAACTTCTGACAAAGACAGAATATAGTCACAAAAATCACAAATAATAATTAGAAAACTCAAGAGTTTCACTCGCTGAGAACATTGATATGAGCAGCACTGAGCTCTAGGACCTACTTAACCCCAGCACCCTAAAGCCGTCCCAAGAGCACCCGGCTGTCACTCTGCCTCAGCAGTACATGCCATTCCCCCTTCTAGCCCCTCACTTGTGATTTGCTACCATTAAACGTCAGGAAAATGGACTTCCAGGGTTGTCACACTCACGCCAAACTCCCTTCCTTCATTACTG